TACTCTTGCAGAAAACTATGACCTACAAAATGCAGGGCAGCTCTGACTCTAATGTGTTCTCCAGGTTGATAAAGTAAATTGAGTTTTAATTTTAACTTATCCATAGAGTCTTTTTTTCAGCAATCCATACCAAATAATTTCCCTAACGTTTTATAAGCCATTATGCCCACCCCTAGATTAGAACCAAGACAGACAACCATTAAAGAGAGGTGGCTACATTTCCCCATTCTATTCAATATGTACTCTCTGATCGAAACAGTTCTTCAGGACAGAATAGCTAATGATAACTCCACATAGTGTCACTCATAGCTTATGGAGGAGATGAGGGCAATGCCATTAAGGCAGAGGTAGAGAATGCAGCGGGCAAGGAACTGTGGATAAATGTAAATGCAGATATGACCACACCCAATGACAGTAGAAATATAATTCAGATCCAGAAATGAAAGAGATGTTTTCCTTATGCATCATCATTTTAGTCATTGTCTATCCACTGCAGGAGGAAGGCCTCTTCCGTATGTTTCCAACCAATATACCCTTGACCTTTCTTTTGCCAACTGAGGCCTCAATACTTGCTGGTGTTGTCAATCCATCTTGTTTTAGATCTCTTTCATGGACACTTTTTATCAAGTGGGATCTATTCTATGGCTGCCTTGGTCCACCTGCCATCAGTTCTTCTTGCCACATGACTGGCCCATTTCCTTACATATAATGTAATTATATTTAAACATATATTTAACAATTTAAAATATAATAAGGCTACAAACCTCTGTCCTCAACTACCCTTCTTCTACCCTTAAGACGCAGCAATTCTTCTTCTTAAACTTTATCGTTTGTGTCTCACTGTGCAACTCAGGGCAATGTGCGTACGTGTTGAAATCAGCAACTTCATTTCATCACAAGACTCTTTCCACATATATCCACCCAACTATTAGGTATTCAGAAAAAAGTCACCAGAGCTGCCTTAAAACTGAGTATGTTTTGTCGTTATGCCATTTAATAATGGCCAAAGCTACAGAGGAAAAAAAAAACCTGAATTATTAATATCAGAAAAGCCTAGGGACTTGCTTAGAATATATCATGCCTAGTGATAAAACAGGGGTACACAACAATATTGAGTCCAGAGGTTGTCTTTAAGTGGAAAATTGCGCCTTGCAGTCCAAAATGTAGATGGGGACAATGCACAATCTAAATTTGATAAAATTTAAATGTAACGGATTGATCAACATTAACACAATGACTCTCAATGTACTTAACCATGCCATCCTTCAATCCCATTAACAAGTTGTTCACCACTATGCAACAGCTCTGGAGGTTACAGCGAAAGAAGAAGAGTCCCTTGTAAGTGAGGTGCAACAGGTCGTGATAAAATTCATCACATCCTATTCCTATTCCAGTTAACTTGTAGAAATCAGTAGTGAACCGTTCTTGTATGAAATAATTCCGATAATAGGAGGAAAACAGGATACAGGCAGACTTTTTTCATAATATCTTCTGGGATAAATTTAATTCAGGATGTTCCTAGATGAGCTGCCCTTCAAGCTAACCAAGCATTGTTCTTTTTGCGATAAGCCACAACTGCAATATCAAATGACGTCCCATTCATGCTTTGGGTATGGGATAACTCAGTGGTGTGTTTCAAAAGTTTTTTTTTTTACCACCGGTTTGGTGGGCATGGCTTGGTGGGTGCGCTCTGCGTACATGCACGCACTCTGCGCATGCACGCCTGCCAAACGTGCACTTTGCGCAGGCACAGAGGCTTTCCAACTCGCCTCCTGCAATCCTTCAACTCTCCCTGTTGCCTCAGCAGCTGACGCGTGGCAATCTGCTGTGCCATGGAAAGCAGCTGCACTTCAAAAGCAGGACATAAAGGTTGGTATGGGAGGCTGGGCGGGTTGGAGAGAACCGGTTCGGTTCCTGCTGCTCATCGGCGCTACCAGCTCGGCAGAACCGGGCAGAACCTGTAGAATACCACCACTGGTATAACTTCCTTGTATGATCTGTGCATACAGAAGGACACAATATAGCTTTGGGGGATGGCAAATACAATTCACAGAACTTACAGTTGTTTATTTGTGTTGATTCTCTTCTGGGCTAAGAAACTCAGAGAATGAAAGCATGAATAACTAGACCTCGAAAACAAGTACTTTTTTTACCTGTGCAAAAATCTATCTGCAATAACTAAAATAACTTCCCCACGCCCACCCTCTAAAAATCTACTCCAGACAGAAACGTGCACCCCAAATCGCATGTATATTAATCTTTTTCCATTGATAACAAAGCCTTAGTTGGTTTTATCCATCACAACACACCTAAACATGACTAATGGAACTGTGAATAATGAGGATATTTGCATAACAATAGGAACAAAGATTATTATAAGATCTCTAGTGGAGTCCTCAAATTGGCCTTTTCCTCCTTCACAGATTTTATTATGAAAATCACATATGAATGGGTGCAAGACCATTAGAAGGTTACATATAATGTCCTCTCAGCCCCTGTAAATTGAATCAAAATTTTAAAGACCCTTTTCCTTTGAATTGAAGCTATCCCTTCCCTGTTCAGTGTAATTGCTGCATATCTTGCAAAGATATAATATTTAGGCTAATTAAAAGACCATGTCTCTCTCTCCATGTGTATGTATGTATTGGATGGAAGGATGAAGAGAGAGAGAGAAAGGGATGATAGATATAAGAGAGAGAGAGAGAGAAAGAATGCCATTTCATGTCTACCAGGGGAGACATGATAGCGGTCTTCCAATATTTGAGGGGCTGCCACAGAGAGGAAGGGGTCAAGCTATTTTCTAAAGCACCTGTAGGCCAGACAAGAAAATAATGGATGGAAACTGAAGAAGGAGAGATTTAACCTGGAAATAAGGAGAAACTTTCTGAGAGTGAGAACAATCAACCAATGGAACAGCTTGCCCTCAGAAGTTGTGGGAATGTCATCACTTGAGACTTTCAAGAAGAGATTGGAGTGCCATCTGTCAGAAATGGTGTAGGGTCTCCCGCTTGGGCAGGGGGTTGGACTAGATGACCTACAAGGTCCCTTCCAACTCTGATTATCTGTTATCTGTTACCTGAATGATAAATAGTGGTGTTTTTTTCTATACTGCAGTTAAATTTATACACGCATCATACTGTATGTATGACTTTGTCAGTATGTAGGAATTTCTGTGTGTGAGAGAGAAGTAGAAATAAGCCTATTTATACACAGAGACAAATGTACTAAGCTTTCATTCTTTTCTTTTTTTAAAAAAAGTTGTCATTAAAGTCTGACAAACCACAAGTCAAAACCTATAAGGGCAAGGATTTACCAGTGCCAGGATTAGGATGCAAAAATCTGGATGGCACTATATATCTCTGCTGGCATCTGTGAGATCTCAATTTTTGCAATTCAGATCTGGCAACCCTAGACAGGATCCCACAAAATGGGAGGAAGTTAGTGAAATGTTTGCTCTCAAAGGTAAGCATCCTCCATTTCCTCCCTTCCCCTTCAAAGCATCTGATATGTTTGAGGATTTGCATAGTGTGTAAATCACAACCACAGGTAGTCAAATAGCAACTGTTTTCCATAGGAGGAAATGACTCTTAAATCTCAGTTTATGTACATGGAAATATTTTGACAGCAAGTTGGCTTTTAGAGCAAGCCTTCTGTCTGATGTATTCAAAATAGGCTCAGTGGTTGCCATTTTTATGAGCTCATTCCAGTTTAGTTTGTAACTTTCTTATGAATATTATATTTCTCTATCTTTTGTGTTTTCATTGCTAAAAATGTTATCTTCATAGATTTTGAAGGACTACTCAAATCATCTCTGCTTCATGCCACTTCTATCCAATTTCTATTTTAAAATATTTAATGTAAATGAGAGAGAGATTTCCCACTGCTCGATCATCTTATAAAGTAGAAGTATTTTGTTTTCTTTTGCTGCAGGAAAAACTCACTAGAATTAATTTGAGCTGTATGCAGATTTCAGACAGACAGCCATTGCAGAATAATCCAGGGGATTGCAGAGCTAAAGGCTTCAAAGCATAACTGGTAAACTACATTAAATCATTGTTTACATAAACATGATATACTATATATATATATATATATATATATGATCCATAATGTATTTAAAGCATAAACTCAGTTTACCAACTAACCCTGCCTACTTCTCCCATTGGCAAGCAATCCCAGATCTGGGCATGATATGGAGACTGGCTATCTTCAACAACCTTTCAACTGCAACAAAGGATTTGCTGGCTTATGGTTTTATTTTATTGTATTTCAGAATAACCGGATAATGGAATGACAGATTTGGAAGGAACTTTTGAGATCTTCTAGTCCAAACCCTGCTCAGGCAGGAAGCCCTATGCCATTTCAGACAAATGGTTGTCCAATCTCTTCCAGTGTTGGAGCATTCACAACTTCTGGAGGCATTTCATAGCAATGAAGCATTTGTTTAGAAGTTTATCCACCATACTTTTTCTGGGAACATGGATGCAGGCTGCATTTTCTAAAACAACCCCCCAAAATGGTACTTTAAGATGAGTTAGGAAGTAATGCTGGCTGGGGAATTCTGGGAATTGAAGTCCACACATCTTTAAGTTGCCAAGGGAACTTTAAGTTTGAGAAGCACTGAATAGGCGAGCAGTAGCCACCCTTTGTGAAGAGGCCACCGTTAATAAGGGAAGGGAACAAGGATGACTCAGTTTCTAAAGAAAAACAGAGCTGCTAGTTAACCAAGTATCTTGGCTTTTCTCAGTGTCATATTCTCTGGATATATTGGACCTACAAATCCTCTCATTCCCTGAGTACTGAGGAGAGCTGTCCAAATTCCCCGCCACAATGTTTAATGTTGAGAAATGAATAAGAAGTCTCAGAAAGGAAAGGAATGTTGAAATAATTTCTGAATTGCTGAAGAGAGAAGCAGAAGCTTCAATGGGGAAGTTGACAGCAGGAAACCAACTCGCTAGTTGGTTTCTTTTCTGCAGTTGATAGTTCCTGTTGATCCCGTCTGTCTACCTAGCCTGCCATTTCTGGATTTTTCAGTGTTTACCTACCTGCTTTAGAAAGCCCATCGTTTGCCTATGCAGATCAGGAGCTCAGCATTTGTCTCTGGAAGCCACTGAAGCGTTTTCCCTGCCTATAAAGCATGATGGTTCCTGAAATAACAGGGAGCACCATGTGAGGAGAAGCTCCAAAAGGCAGAAAGGAGGCAGAGGAAGAGAAGAGAGGGGGAGGTGAAATGCCAAAATGTCAGTGCTTACTCCTATCCTGACACCTCCTGAGGTGAAGAAGTACATGACTGAAGGTGAACGCTTTATTAAGTGGGATGATGTAAGTACGATTGACAATTCTCGCTCTGATATGGACATGGGAGAAAAACCATTTGGAGGCTCTGGATCACATGCATGGTATTACACATACATGGTGAAATGAACATTCATGGTTGAGGGTTAAGGTGGCTTTGTGTCTTAGCAAATTGAGGACAATCACTGGTTCCAATTCTGCCTGTTTCAGGAAGACGGAGCAGCAGGGCCTTTGATAGCCCTTAGAAAAGGGACTGAGATGATATACAGTACAGTGCAAATTTATCCCTGGATTGATAAATTGCTTCCTTTTGTTATCACCCTGACAGAGAGATTAAGAGATTTTTGATAGAGGCCTGTTAATAAGTAAATGTCTTTATATATAATACTTACTGAGGTGGGCTCATACCAATCTGTGGTCATGTGTATTACTCAGCATCCCAATTTACTAGTTGTAAAATTAAGATTAACTGCAATTTTTAAATACTTCACAAAATTTGGCAGAAAGCACAGAAGGATTGCATTGCATTGATATCCATCATGTTTTAGGTGAAATGGAAAAAGCTCTGTGTTTAAATGGTAATAGGTAAAGACTGTTTGTCGACAACGTTGGGCCTCCTCGTATTTCTGCAGATTCCAAGTTTGCAGAATGTTCATTTTGCAGAAAATATCAATAGTAAAAAGTGTATTGCCGCATCTTTTGATTAATAAAAAAACATTACCCTTTGCAAAACAAATAAAACACATGTGTCCAACAATCATTTGTTGGCATCTGTAATAATATAGAATACATTTTATAATTTTTTAAATATAGTTTTCTTTGCCTCCTCGCTCTCCAAACTTAATAAACAATCAAATTCCAGTATTTTGGCATATAAGTCAATATTACATTCACATCTTCAACATTTACACATATTGCCATGAATCTACCAATGTACTTTAATACTCATTCCCAAAAGGCTAATAAATTATCAATATTTTCCACCAGTCACATTATCTCCATAGTATGATAGGTTAGCTGTGGAATAACACAAAGCAGTATATGATGGAAGTCAAGCATACATGATCATAAATAGAATGCTTAGTGAATTGTTCAACATTATACAGGGACTAGAAAAGGGGATAGAATCTCAGTTGTTTAATATATGCATGAATAAATATATAAGGAATTCATGTGTGGACATTAGACATATGCTTGTTACAAATGTGTATGTGTGTGTGCCTTTTTATGAACACTATGTCATTTTGCTGGCTTAGAATCCAAATGCTTTGCAATGTTTAGTATATTATCTACGAGATTGCATAATGCCATGGAAAGGATGGCTTGGATGAGGAATAGCCATGTGATGGTGATGTTTTAAAGTTATACACCTGTAATGAAGAATTAGCTAGTTGATGAATCTGTATACATTGGTAGACTGTTGTCTAAAGATGGAAAATATGGCTGAAGAAGTTTTAAGACATGCAATATTTGTACAATGATCGTGAGCGGTATATGGTCTGTGGCAAATAATAAATGTTTGATAATATTGATAGCATGGATTAGGACTGAATGTAAAAGAAATACAAGAAAGAAGAGCGAACTGGTAGGAAGGAGAGGACCAAGAATGTTATGATTGGATGGAGTCCAAAAAGAGAGATGAGAAATGTAAATCACACACACACACACACACAAATGTATGAATTGATGTTTAGGTGTGATAAAATGCTAAAGGCTAGCCTACAAGGATAGAAAACTTTGGGAAGCTATAATGAATGTTTTTGTGTAAACTAGATTTAGCTATGTTTCCTTTTCTCTTATCTCCTGCCTTTTATTTCCTTTACTTACTGCTTAATGTGCTTTGCCCCCTGTGCTTTGCATAAGATTGCTAAATTCTGGCATGGTTGTCCTTAGCGTACTTTCCACTAAAGAGAGAATTCTTACGAAAGAGGGCAGGAGAGGGCAGCCTTGCATAAAGGCTACATCTGCTGATGGAGTGTAAAGATTCAGTTTTAGAAATGATGATTATAATTTGTACAGAAATACAGCACATCTTATCATCGTGGAAAACGAGTGTGTTCAAGTGCTGGATGTTCCAATGTGTTATGACTGTGGATGACAACTTCTCAATGTTTGCTCTTCTGTCTTAATGCTTTCCTATCAATAAACTTGACTCAGACTGAACAGCCCTTGAAATCAAGAATACATTCTTAAAAGCAGAGGGCTGCCTTTTTTTAAAAAAAGAAATGCTCTATCCTAAAATGAGTAAATGGAGACACTTGATAATCAAGAAGATGCATGCAGTATACAAGAATGCAACTAAATATAGCATCTCCCTTTTTTTTCTTCAAGCTTCTTGAGAATTATCATTGCTCAATAATGAGGAAGCTGAATCAGTATATTTAATCTCTCTATCTCTATCTATTTATATCTGTTTCAGATATGTATTAAAATTGCTACCAGTAACAGTATCCAGATTGGGAACATGTGCATCAAACTTAGCTAGGTTATTTGTTACCCCTTCATGGACCAGCTTTGCAAACATTTTATTGATTTAATTAATTAAATGTATATGTCACTCACCTCACTCTGCAAAGTGATTCTGGGCAGCCTACAATTAAACACATAAATATAATCCAAATATAATATTATTTATATTAATATAAAACATTAAATAAGCAGACAGCAAGCAAAAGCAAGATGGATATGGTGGTAGCATTGTCCCTGTTAATCCACCAACCACCAGTTTGGCTTTTATTGCTGAGGTTCGAGTTGGAACAAGCTGTCATTTGGACATAAGCTGTTGTAACAATCCTATCTTTTGCAAATGTCCCCTCTGAACTTTTGTGTGGACAAAATACCATCTCAGCCAGAGGTGGTATTCATCAGGTTCTGACCAGTTCTGGAGAACCGGTAGCGGAAATTTTGAGTAGTTCAGAGAACCGGCAAATACCACCTCTGACTGGAGATTTTACAGTATCCTTCCCCTGCCACGCCCACCAAGCCATGCCCACAGATTGAATCCCACCACTGATCTCAGCCTTTCATATTGAAGCAGATCAGTGCAAATCTCCTCATGGCATTTGTACTATATCGTACAGTGGCAATAAGTATGTTAGAAGATGAAAGGTATATTCTGAATCAAGACAATTTCAGAGTTTGAGATAATGCTCAATAAAGTTGTTAACATGAAGCATGTCAGGAACTGACCTCAGAGGTATTGGAAATCCTCAACTTATAACTGGTTGCTTAGCACCCGTTTGAAGTTACATTGGACCCACCTGAGGGCTACATATGACCTGAATTCAAAATTTTGACAGTTGGGGGAACCCCATGATCATATTTTGAGTTCTCTGAATTTTGATCACATGACTATGCGGATGCTGCAACAGTGGTAAGTGTGAAAAATGGTCATAAGTCACTTTTTCAGTGCCATTGTAACTTTGAATGGTCACTAAATGAATAGTTGTCAGTTGAGGACTATCTGTATTCATTTTCGTTGTTTCTTATCTAAATTTAAAAAATGAATAAATTAAGATTTTTGAACTATGCATCTTTTTCCTCCCAGGAATCTGCAAATGCACACCCTGTCATTCTACGGGTGGACCCAAAGGGATTTTATCTGTATTGGACTTTTCAAAGTAAGGTATGTCCTGACCGCCAAAAACCACAGTATACAGTAAATGCTTTCAGAAACAAATCAAGCTCCTAACATATATCATAGCTGTTCTCTAAACTATGATCAGTATACTGCATAATCTGTGCTGGAGATTCTAATTTAAGATTCTCAGATAGAAAAAAAAAAATCTTAAAATTGGAAGCCATTGTAAAGCATATATATTAGAAATATTTGGCATTGTTAGAATCCAAAATGTAGAAAATCTTTTTTTAATAAACTCATTAAAATTGCTTCGGATTAGATTATTTTTAGTTCTTCTGTTTTGGTGGAGCAGTAGACCTTGTTACAATCGCAGACCATACTCTAGGGACTCTGACTGTGAATTTTAGCAATTACAGTTCAGCTAATTTTAGATGGCATTTTAACATTTGTCTCTTAAGAGATTAATGTTTTACAGAATAATTGAAATTAAAAAAATAAATTGGAGTTCTACCAAGATGTTAAGTCACTGCGGTAAGCAAAAGACATCTATCAGGACACTCATTATTGCTTTCATTTTAGCAAAAAGGAGATTTAGAGACTCTAATTTTGAACAATTAGAAAATAAGATTAAAAATTCATTTTTGTTATATGCTAGAAACAAGACAGACAACTCACATCAAACATTTAAAACAACAAAATTTAAAGTGGGGAGATTCTATGCTCACAACAGGTTGAATACCCTGAAATGTTTCGTGCAGAAGTATTGGTAATCTGGAGAAGCTGTAAATTTTTGGTGTTATCATTTGATACAACAAAAATAATGAAATTTTATATCTGGAATTCAGACCAATGATGAACAGTTATTTTGTGAGCCAGGATCTGTCAATTATCAGTTTTATTATATTTTTTGTTATATTATATTTATATTCAGATACATGAAATAAGCAACTCTTAACTGAAAAGCAAGGAAGTAACAATTTTGTGGGAAATATTGAAATGGAAAACTTTTTTTAGATAGGAAAAAAAACATTTCTTGACATAAAACAAAAAATCTCAGAGATGTTGTAATCAATGAAACTGAGAGCTCTGAAACAGATGGTGGTTCAGGTTACATTTATTTTATTTATTTATTTATTTTGATTTGTCAATCACATACAAGATAATAGGTATAAGTATATACATAGTTATGAATACATGAAATGGGTACATATAAGAAAAATAAAAGAAACAATAGGACAGGGACGTTAGGCACGTTAGTGCGCTTATGCACGCCCCCTACAGACCTCTTAGGAAAGGGGTGAGGTCAATAGTAGACAGTCTAAGGTTAAGGTTACTTGGTCCAGAACTCTGACAGGCTTATTGGAACCGATATTGGTGAACGCCTAAAGTCATTTAATCCTTGTAAATTACTGTAAACAGTTGACTATCAGCCTGAGAAAGACCCAACAAGATTACAAGTAATGGACTCATATCTTTGCTTAATGTGGACATTAAACACTAGACAGGCTTAAGATAGTACCATTTGTAATTTAGCCATCTTATTCTGGATTTATAAAAAATAGATAAGCATCTGCTTGATGATTGATATTATATATGTCATGAAGATACATTGAAATAAGCTGTTCTAATTTCACTGGGTGTTAGAAGGGCCTTTGACATGGTTCAGGCTGAATTTATAACATGTTTTCTAGGAAGATATGGACTTCCACCATCTTTTGTGTATTGGATAATAATCTCGCATTTGCACTCAGTGGCAAGAGTTTTACAAATGCATTTATCTTTCAAGCTATGAAGTTACAATGTGACACCCAGCAAGGATATTTCTTAATCTTTAATCTGGTTTTTGAACCATTAGTTTTTCCTATTTGTCTCCAGAAAATAAAAGTGTAGCGGCACTTGATACTGAATATAAATTGTTTTTATATACTGATTATCTTATAGCTGTTCTTGATAATCATGCAATATTGTCAACAAAGCTTATAGCATTTTGGTTTATATTCTGTTTACACTAATGACTGGAACACATTTAATTTGTTACTTTTGGAATTTATCATAAGATTTATATATAATATCCACTGACTCTATAGAATACTTACAGTAGGTTTACACTTAGTCCTCAACATATAACACAATTGGAATTGGAATTTGTAATGGTCATAACTTCAAAAACAGGTCATATATCATTTTTCCAGAGACCATCATATCATTGACAGTCATTAAACAAATGCTCATAAACTGATGGCTACCTATATATTGTTCTCAAAGTATATCAAATATGTTTTTTTTTCTTCCATTGAATCATATCCAATTCTTGGAGATTCTCTCTAGACAAATCCCTGCAGTGTTCTTGATAAGGTTTTGCAGAAGTGGTTTGCCATCGCCTCAAATATATCCAAATGTATAGATACAATTTTAATAGATAAGTTAATGGTTAAAATTCCCTTTAAGCCTTTGGGGCAAGATTAATCTTATAAAAATGGATATTACATAGAGATTAATGTATATTCTAGGGGGATTCCAATATTAATTCACTTAAGATATTTTACACAGATAAATAAGTTGATGAGAAAATATTTATGGGAATCTAAAGCCCCTTGAATAACCTTGACCAAACAGAAGTTACTTTATGAAGATAGCAGCTTTTAACATACCAGATTTTCAACTCCATCACTGGGGTTTTATTTTAATTTCTGCATGTGTTGGAAGAAAGTTTTTATGATTATTTTTCTCTCTGGGCCTATTTGGATAGCAAGTATATACGATTTCTTGGCAGGGGCCTGGTATACTTAAGGATTTTGACTTTCAGCCTTGACATATGCCAGGCATGTTCTTTTTTAAAAAAATTTAATGCATAAAAGGTTATGATATGATCCAAAAACTGTATGAGGCTTTGACATGGTGGAATTAACCCACATGTGAAAATAGCAAGGAAGATGTTTTACTGGGATTCTTGGGCTAAACAAGCCATCAACACTTTAAATCAGTTGATTACTGATGTCTGTTTTAAGGAAGTTGAGAGATTACATATTAAATATGATTTACCTGTATTATTTGCTTAGCAATTGAAATATGCATTAAACAGCATGGTCCTAATGTTCCAGCGCCCACTGAGGTGCCTGAAATTTTAGGATCCCTGAGAGTTGTAGCACTTAACTGGAAAGCATCAACTTTTGTGATCTTCTCTTCTCTAGCTATAGCCTTATTTTTGTTTCATATCACTACATACATCAATTCAATTTTGGGAATAAATATTGCCATTTAGGATCTTAAACTATACTCTTAAAACATGGAATTTTTTTTATCTCATGAAGAGCTTTGCTGTATCAGATCTAGGGACCAGCAAAGAAGATAATTTTATATAACTTGAAAGAAACTTACCATTCTGATTTTAAGGAATGGATCCTGGGTACGAGTTTATTGTTTATTTATTGATTTTAATCTGCATGTATTAAATATAAGAAGTTGATGCAATATGTTTCTCTGTGGTCTGGATTTAACACTAGGCTTAAGTAGTTATGTGGATTTTTTTCTGTTAATAAGGAAATTTTCTGATCACATTTAGTTTATTTTCATTACTGTAATGTATTTTTCTTTGCACTATATTTTCACTATTTTTTGTTCTTGTTGCATTTGTTTGTATTCCATATTTTAAAAATATTTTAATATAAGCAAAACGAAGACATGGTTTGAATATGTGAATCAAAGCCACAGATATAACAACAACAAACAGATATGTGTTTGAGATGTGGTGATTAGATAATACTGTGCTTGACCAGTAATAATGCATAGGAAAGGGATTCAATTATTTCTCAGTACAAAGAAAAACTGCAGAAAACCAGTGCTGTCAAGTTTGCACACTATTTTGCTTGCTTACTACTGCTTTCTAGCAGAAAGTCAGAGACTGTGGTTTGCAGTGACTTCCTTCTCTGCAGTAACTAATGCTTGAGAATTAGCCCACATATGAAGTATGTATTATTTGTTGTGCGTATAGTGGGAACTGGGAAAGTGTTAAATCTTAGAATAACAAAACAAAATTCTGGAATGGATCCACCTGAATGTTCATCTCACTTTAATATTTTGCTTACCAAACCCTGGACACCTAGATAATTTTAGGTCCCAGGCATAGTTACATTATCTTGTCTTTTCAGATGGTCATGAATCTTGTTTTGTTTTGTTTGCTGCTTTTTGCAACACGTCCCTGTTTTACAGATGCCTCTATGACGTAGCTGCCTCCAGCTGCCTCTCCAAACTCTTCAGACATATAAAAATGTTTGCCAGTGTTCTGGGGTTTTTTTTTTAAATAAATAAATAATTCAAAGACATGCAGTTTTGGATTTTGAACTCACAACTACAACTCTAAAAATAAAATAAAACTCTCTTCCATTGGAACCACAAGTGGCCAAAGCTTTTTTGTTTTCCCCATCTTAGTAGCTTCTATCTAGATCCTTGTTTATACACAAAGTAAACCACCTGCAAAGGAAGATTAGTCAGCAGCTTATCTGCTCTCAGATGAAGGAAATTTATAGATTTGTCTTCTTAGCTTTATTCTTTTCACGGAATTCTTGCCAGAATGATTATCTATTATTTCGACATATTCATCTAGGTTTTGCATGATCTCTTTCAAGTGCATTCTGTGAAAACCCACTATGTCCCAGTTACCCCACTGAACTGTTTTTTTATATTGAAACCAGCTTTTGAAGAGGATTTTTTTTTTTTTTTGAGAAGAGAAGTGTCAGGAGATATAACAACCCATTGTCTCCCAGTCATTTTCTCTTTTCAAATTTAAATAGCACATTTTCTTTGCTTTGTGGAGTTCTTGGTACTCTGTGGGTGCTAGCCAGTTCGTAATGAAATGTTCACAAGCAACCAGCCAAGCTTAGAGAGTACCAACAATTTTATAGAAATTCTCTTCTATTAGAACCACAAGGGTCCAATACTTCCTTATTTTCCCCATCTCACTGGCTTCTAGATCCTAGTTTATACACAAAACAAACTATCTTGAAAGGAAGATTGCCGGTAGTCAACAGCTTATTTACTTTCACATGAAAGGAATGTATACATTTGTCTTTGTTTTTAAAACCACACAGAATTGAGAAGTGTTAATATTTCTTTGCAAATAATATTTAATTTGTCCCCTGAAATAGCTAACTTCAGCAAGCTGAAGAATTGTGATAACACTGTTAGATATATAATATGAACCCTTTGAAACAAAAATCCTAAGGCAGATTTAAGCTTCTTTCCTCTGGCTGCTGCAAAACTTCAAGAAACCAAAATAATAAAATGAGACTCGTACGTTTTTAAAAATTGCATGAACGAAGATCAGTGATTGTATCAGAGCTGCCATTATCCTTGCTGTTGCTCAGCAATAACCACAGAACAGCAATGTTTACTTTGGTTCAGAGAGAAGGTGGGGAGGGATGAGCCAAATTTCAATAGTTAGAAAGTGCAAATTGTGCAATGAGCAGTATACTCAAGCAAGAGTCTTTGCAAAACTCAGCCTTTTTTTTTAATAAAGTTTTATTTGGGTTTTCACACATACAAAATACAAATAAAACATCTTTTTTTGAAAATAACATGGTCCCGGGTTGAACTTCTTTATAGAGACACAAAACTCAATTTCATGCTCCTTTTTGTATTCTATTCCATATCTTATACTATTTTACATTTTCTATATAGTTTTTCCCCTCTTTTAATTTTCTCAATTTTATTTTGATTATCTCATCTCAATTCAAGTCATTATATTTATATTTTTGTCTGTTCTGTTTCAATTTCATATTATATTTTCTCATTAAACTAATTTTCTCCTGTAGTTACTAATTGGAGTATGACACCTTTATATCTTTTAATTATATCCATTCAACTCTTATTTAAATTTCAATATATACCTTAAGGTTATGTCCTTCAATATAATACATAATACATAACTTCCAATCAAATTCTGCTTGGTACATTCTTATAATACACACTATATTCTTTTTTTAAAAAAGATTGTAAATATATGTAATTATAAACCCTCATCCCATCCCAGTTCAGTTGTATCATTAATAATCATTAAAATCTTAACATCTTTAACACTTCTTTTCAATTAAATATCATACTTCCTTAAAAACACATATAATCTCCATAATTAATTTTTCCCTTATTTCTCTTCACATATGTTTTATAAATCATTAAATATACCTTTTGTTACATTTATTTATTGACAAGCATTCCACTGAATTACGATAGCTATTTTATCAGACATTTTAATCATACATTGTTTCATATTTTCTAAAATTATTTCTGTTTCTAATATAACAATACTATCTTATGTACCTTTGCAGAATCCCTTTTTCCATTAAGTTTTCACCCATTATCTCTAAATAGGCCCTCTTTCTCTATATTTTGCTTCTGTCCTTTATAACTTCTTTTCCTTTCTTTCTTCCCTCTCATCTTCTCCCTCCCCTTTTTACCCCCTTGTCTCTCTACTTCTAATTCTCTCTTCTGCATTTCCCTCTTCTGTTGCTTTCTGATTTTATACTTATTTTTCACTCTATTTTTTGGGGGGGAGTTGTTTTTCCCAATCTTAAACTTTCCATTGTCTTTCCCCCCTTTCCTTTTTTCCCCCCATCTAAGATTACTTGTTCATTAAAGGTGGCTTCTTCTTTGTCGCAATCTTCTTGTTCTGCAGGCATTTCTTGTTGTTTCTCATAATTCCAAATCTCCATTTCTAAAAACTGAAATACGAAGCCAAAAGAACCTCTCCCTTCTTGTGCATCTTCTTTGTACTTTTTAAGTTCCATTTTCAGTTCTTCTAAAAGTGGAGCCATTTTAAACAATTTTAAACAACCACCCAATTGATTTTAGTCATTCAAAACAATAACCAAGAATCCAGAAATCATCAAGTAATCCAGATAGTCCCGAGTTATATCTTCTTATTTATTTTTCGACTTTCTCTTCCTGGGGTTTTTGTTGCAATATTTCAGTTAGAATGTATCTTTTGGAAGTCTTGTTGAGATTTTGCTGTAAGTTCTTTTTTAATTCCAGGCAGTCTCGTCCCTTCCAGATCCTGCCCTTTTATTCTTTTTCTCTCCTTTCCTGTTTTCAAAAGCTTTTAATTATCCAGAAATTTTTATTATCCCTTTGACTTTTTATTTTCAGCATTAAATGCCTATTGATGTCAAAGTGGATTTTTTTCCAATTTCTTGCTTAAGTCTCTTAGCTGTCAGTATAGGAAAAGGAGAAAACCAAATCTTTTCCCTTTTCCCTCTCCTTTGCAGCTTAAAAATCTTCTTAGGGAACAATGTTATTGTTTTTTAATAGTTTCAATTCCAGGGTACCTTATTTGTTGCTTTTGCTGTTTGACCCGGTCAACCAAAACTTTCTCTTCTTACCTTCCTCCTTCACATTTTTTTCCGGCCGAGTTCTTCTTTGTGGTGGCCATTTCTGGCCACCGCTGCAACCGCCTTCGGGAAAGGGTGTAATGGCCAGCTGGGGAGGAGAGATGTGGCTCTCCTCAACCCTGCAGGCAGTCTCCCCCCTCTTCACCACCTCTATGGGGTGGCTTAGCCCCAAAACCAGCCGGCTCGGGGCGCTCCAGCAGCAAGCACGGATCGAAGCCTTGCAGAGATGAGGTTTCGGTCTGTTGCTGAAGAAGCTCAAACCGGAAGCCGCAAAAGTCAGCCTTTTGTGATAGGCCCAATGCTGGTGTTCTACCGGTTCAGCCCGGTTCTGCTGAGCTGGTAGCAGCGATGAGCAGTGAAGACTGAACTGGTTCTGCCACTCTGCTGTTGGGTCCACCCACCTGCCCAGGCTACCATACTCACCTTTATCCTCTGAATTAGAAGCGCAGCTGCTTTGCGTGGCACAGCAGAGTGCTGCGCAGCAGTGCTGAAGCGACCAGGATCATGCAGGCTTGCAGGAGGTGAGTTAGAATGCCTCTGTGCCTGCACAAATGCCTTTGCCCCTGCGCAAAGTGTGCATTTGACACACATGCGCACACAAAGTGTGTGCACGTGCACTCCCACCGAAGTGGTGGTAAAAATATTTGAATCCCACCATTGGATAGGCCAGTCCAGAAATGAGACTCCACAAGGACTACTGGAGCTCTATTGCAGGATATAATAATAGAATCTCAAAAGCCTGACAATATGGCTATGTCTTCTGTCTGGCATATAGTGTGAAATCTGGCAGAACTGATTCATTAGAGTTGATTTATTGTCAATCATTTTCAGCAATTTTGATTTATTTTATTATTGTCCCACAGGTAGTCCTCGACTTATGAACTACAATGTAATCCAAAATTTCTGTTGCTAAGCAAAAAAAAATTGTTAAGTTTTACGACCTTCCTTGCACACTGTTTTTAAGTGAATCGCTGTAATTGTTAAGTTAGTAACACGGTTGTTAAGTGAATCTGGCTTCCCCATTGACTTTGCTTGTCAGAAGGGCACAAAAGGTGATCACATGACACTGGGACCCTGCAACGGTCATAAGTACAAATCAGTTAACAGGCATCTGAATTTTGATCATGTGACCATGGGGATGCTGCAATGGTTGTGTGAAAAAAGATCATAAGTCACTTTTTTCAGTACCATTGTAACTTTGAATGGTCACTAAATGAATGTAAATCAAGGATTATATTGTATTATTGTATTATTCTAAACAATAGGTCAATAGGTACTATTTCATCATTTCTCCAGTAAAATACGATGTAAAAAGAGTTCGCTGGAGCAATGTATTCATAAGCATCTAGGCATCTTTCCAAGAAATACATTTTTCATAAAATGATTTTTATATGCTGTAGCTGTTGAACAGCAATTTGATTTTTCCCCAGCTTGGATTTCCCCCCCAGCAATTTACTGTTTTGAAGTGATCTGACAAAGAAGGTCTTTGAATCTACTTGTAGTGGAATCTGTTAGATTTAAACCTATAGAAAAATTGATAAAATATACTGTATGCTAATTCATGTTCACTGAAGCTCAGTCCCAAAGATGGTTAGGTTTCTGGGTAGTGTGCTTATTTATGCAGAATGATCTGGATTTGAGGTTTATGTTTTGTTTTTCACAGAAGCTAAAATTGTGCATGCTACTTTTTATTATTTTGCAGGAGATTGAATTTTTGGATATTACAAGCATCCGAGATACTAGAGTGGGGAAATTTGCAAAGATTCCTAAAGTAAGTTTATGACATGATACGTAAAAGTCTTCTCTAACCTAATGTCTTTCAAATTTAGGAGACTTTGGTTCCTGAAATTGGGTGAGCTGACTGAGAATTTAGAAATCAAGGACAACTGTCCTTTCATCTTTTGTGATAAACTTAAACCCAAAGCTGTCACCAGCAGGAAAAAGGAGCAGGGTTTTGATTGTGCAGTTGTGACCATCTTGACATTTTTCGTATCTCCCCAGGATGTCCCTGCTCACTGCTGTTTTATCAGCAAGTCAAAAATGCTTTTGTAGTAATTTCCCCCCTCATCTTTTGTAACAACATGCATAGTACGAAAGGTCAATGGCAATTTGAGATGATACGGAAAAACAACTTCCACTCCAAAATAATAGCAGTCTTAGAATGTATTTAAGTGCCTGCAGCTGTACTGGAAAAAAGTGGATTTTTCCATCTGCATCTTTCCCTTCCCATTATGTTCTCCCCAGCTCTAAAAATGCGACTCAGAAGGTCCTATCGTGCAAAGTAATTTCTCCAAATTTGGCAGTGACACCTTCTCCGTTTGAGTTCTATTCCCGTATGATTTCTCAGAGATCTGAAAATAATTCTGCTAGCAGTCTGGCACAGCTGAATGCTAACAAACTTTAACAGAAAAGATTGAGAAGACTGTGCCTCCTTTGTATGCCATGAAGAAACACAATATTGCTGAAGAAAGGGAAGGACAGCAAAAGTATTGATTTTTAGAAGTAAGAGTCAAGCTTATACAGTGAACTATCATGGAGGGAGGAAACTTGTAGACATAAAATTGGTGTGTGTGTATATGTGTGTGTGTTAGTTATAGGCTACAGAAGTGCACTATTGCTAGGAAGTTGGGGTTTGCATGCACTTAAAGGAGTTCAGAAAAGAAAAGAAAAAAGATCAGTTTGAATGGCAATAGCCAAAGTCTCCCATGGTCAAGTCACACAGGGCATTCTTGACAACACTTGAAAGTGCAGCATCAACAAGATCACAGCTTTACAATATTTCTTTCTTAGTGCCAAACAAGGACCAATTTATGTAAGCATTTTGTAATACAATGATATGTGACTCACTTGCATGGCATTTCTTGTATTTCTTTAACTATCCTCCTGATGCAACAGCATTAAAATGGAAGTGTTCAAGTAGTTCCTCCTTTTCCCAGAGTAACAACTGACATATTTAATTTTAAGATCAATTATTGCAATGCTCCTCTGTACTGAGCAGCAGCTGCATTTTGAAAAATAGCCATTAGTTGGGACAAGATTCCAGTGTAGATACTGTCTTTGCTCTGCTTCCTTAGAAGTTATCCTGTACTTCCAGACTAGGAGAGATATTTAGGATTCTTATCAGAGTCAAGCTTGTGGAACAAGATGAAGAGAAACAAAATATCTTCAAAATGTCTTGCTGATTGAATGCAAATTAAAAAAGCAGAATATTGAAAACATTTTTTTCTTCAATAGCCCTATGTTGGTTATAGCATTTAAAGGCCATTTTGATAAGATGTGCAATAATATACGCCTAAGAAGCAATTATTTTCATTAAAGTATTCTTTTGTGTTCAAAAACTCCAATCCCATTTTGAATTTTAAAGCAGGTTTTTCTCAAGTCTTCTCACTTCTGCTTTCAGTTTTTCTTCTTAATGTGTTTTTATTTATTAATTTCTATATCTATCCTTTGCAGAATCACAAACTCCGAGAAGTTTTCAACTTGGATTTTCCAAACAACAATTTTCTTCACAAGATATTGACTGTGGTTTCTGGTCCTGATATGGTGGACCTCACATTTCACAATTTTGTTTCTTATAAAGAAAATGTTGGCAAGGTAAGAAAATAAACTAAAGTTCCAGATGTTAATGTAAGCAAAAGCTAACCAAAATAGCCATACAGTACCATATTTGAGAGAAGCAGTTGACATTATGTCTAAAGTGCTGTGTTAGAGATGCAGGGTATTTTTTTGCAATCCTAATGTCCAAGCTGGTTTAAAACCAGTGTCTGCCATCTCTGGTTTAAAGCTGGTTTAAAATCAGTGTCTGCCATTTCCTCCCTAAAGTATTTCACATAATACAGCCATGGACAAAAATGGAACAATATATGATTGTTTTAAAAGCTAAATAAACATAATATCAGTGTAATATAGTGGTTATGCTAGGCCTGATTACTTTCATATTCAAATCTCCACCCAGTTATGAATTCCCTTCATGACCTTGAAATACTCATGATGTCCTAGCCAAATCTACCTCACAGAACTGTGATGAAAACAAAAGATGGCAGGGAGAACCAAGTGTATTGGACGGAACTATTTATTTATTTATTTATTTATTTGTTTGTTTGTTTGTTTGTTTTGTCAAGCATGTATTAGATAACAGATATAAGTATAAAATGATTATGAATACATGAAATGGATACGAATAAAAGGGGAACATTAGGACAGGGACGGTAGGCACGTTGGTGCGCTTATGCACGCCCCTTACAGACTATCTTCAAGAAAACTTGGAGTTGATATTTATTGACCTTCTATTTATTTTGACAATTGCCTAAATATGAATATCAAAGTGATCATCCATTTTACATAGAAGGAGAAAGATGTCAATTGCTTCCACTTAGTTTAAATACATAGAAAGTAAATGTCAATGATTCAAAAAATGGCATAGATTAGAATCTTATCTTTAGAAAGGATAGTCAAAATGGAAAATGAGCATTCATTCCATGTGGAAATACTGCCTGGCACACCCACTCATGGGCTGAAATGTAGATGTTATACTTCACAAGTTTTGGACTTTCAGATTGTACCCTTGACTTCATTTTTCAGAACTGGGCAGATGATATGATGGACTTCGTTCGGAACCCCTTTATATACAATGCTTCCCGTTACACTTTCCTGGAGAAAATGTGAGTAGTTATTTACAAAGGTTGTATTTCCAAGTATTTCTTGGCAGTTCTAGTAATATAGTATGGTAGCTGAATGAAGTTGAAAGCTGGTCATTTAAAAACACTGGAGTATGATGTTGTCTTAGGAGGCGGGTCCATACTCTTCCCTTCAAGAACATGGAGGAGTTGCAATATTCTATAAAATGTCTCTAAATCTAAAAAAAGATCCAAATTATACAAGAGCTTGCTCTTCCCAAGACCATCATCTGTGAACTGTCTTTAAACATCTCAATCCGCTTCTTACTTTGCTATCGTGCCCCTGACTATGATATAATTCATGCAAACAAGCTAACTTCACTACTGACATGGGCTGCCTCCTGCCCACACCCTCTCATTTTTCTTGGTAACCTCAACTTACCTCTTATAAATTGGACACTAAATGAATGTACATATGAACCCATTCATACAACCCTGTACAATGCCGTTGCCACACTAGGACTGGAACAACTAGTAACCAACAATACTAGACTTAACTGCCTCGATCTCATCTTCTGCAACAGTTTGAATTCAATTTATGGAATACAGATTAATGAACCCATTTCCAACAGTGACCACAGCATGATTGACTTTTGTCTCAACATATGTCCTCACAAAAATCACCATAATGACAGGATCCCCAATTATAACTTCAAAAAAGGCAACAAAGATCTCTCATCTCTTGATTGGCAAATTCTATTCACTCGATGCAATACTGTAGAAGACCATTACAACATATTTTTACTTGAAGTCAAAAGAGTCATCAAACTATATGTACCAATAACAACTCCCAAATCAGAAAAAACAAATTACCCATAACAATAAGGAAGCTCCAATCCAAAAAGAAATCCCTTTGGCGGAAAAACAAATCTGGTCATGTTGCCAACTTTAAAAGCTGATACAAAAATTTATGCCACCAGATAAAGACTGAATGTACCAATTATCACATTAAACAAGAGGAAAACCTTCTACGCACCAATTCCACCTGCGCTTTCTACAATTTTGTAAACAACAAACTAAAAGACTCAAGGTCCATCCCACCCCTAAAAGAACCAAATGGTAACGATGACACCATTAAAGCCAACCTCTTTAACACATTTTTTGGCTCAGTATTTGTAAACAGCAATGGATCATGCCCAATATTTCCTAGTCGAACCACAGACAACTACAATGATCTAATACATATCGATTTTACAGAAGACAATGTTGAAAAAGCACTCCGCAATCTAAAACCATCTTTATCTATTGGACCGGACGGAGTTTGTGCCTACTTCTTAAAAAAGCTATCCACTGCCATAGCTGAACCGCTAAGCATAATCTTTGAAAAATCTTTCAGGACCAGCTCCTTGCCAAATCTATGGTCACTAGCCACAGTCATTCCCATCTTCAAAAAGGGAGACCCCAGCCTAGTTGAAAATTACAAACCAATCTCTTTATGCTGTGTCACCTGTAAAGTCATGGAATCAATTATTAACCAATCCATTATCCTCCACTTAGAGACAAACAACCTACTCTCTAACAAACAGTTTGGTTTCAGAAGGAAACTGTCCTGTAACCTGCAACTCTTGCACTGTAAAAACATATGGACTACACAACTTGATCAGGGCAAAGCAATTGACGCAATTTACATAGACTTCTGTAAAGCCTTTGATTCAGTGGTACACGGCAAACTACTCCTAAAACTAAGGTCTTATGGTATCTCTGGATATCTGCATAACTGGATAGAAGCATTCCTGTCAAACAGGCAACAAATTGTCAAAATTGGAAGTATCCTATCAAATCCTGTACCTGTCAACAGTGGTGTCCCCCAAGGAAGTGTTCTGGGACCAACTCTCTTCATACTCCATATTAATGACCTCTGTGATTATATTAAGAGCAACTGCGTTCTTTTCGCTGATGATGTAAAGCTATTCAACACCACAGACAATACTGCTACCCTTCAAAAAGACCTCGACTATGTATCAGAATGGTCAAACAAATGGCAACTTCAAATATCAACAAATAAATGCTCTATCTTACATATTGGCAAAAAAAACCAAAAAATAAAATACAAGCTGAATAGTCAAGACATTGTTGATGACAAAAACTTTGTCAAGGACCTTGGAGTACTCATCTCAAATGATCTAAGTGCTAGAGCCCACTGTAACTACATAGCTGAAAAGGCATTAAGAGTTGTTAACCTAATCCTGCGTAGCTTTGTCTCCGGTAATATCACTCTACTAACTGGAGCATATAAAACATTTGCTAGACCAATACTTAAATACAGCTCCTCAGTCTGGAATCCGCATTACATATCTGATATTAATACAATTGAGAAAGTCCAGAAATATTTTATGAGAAGAATCCTCCTCTACTCGTAGCAGAATACCTTATGCCACCAGACTTGAAATTTTAGACCTAGACAACCTAGAACTATGCCGCCTTCGGTTCGATCTAAGTATAGTATATAAAATTAAATATTAAATTAAATATCTTTAAACCAAGATTTTGTTTAAGTTCTCCTAATTGTTTTATTTTAAATTTCTTCTCTAACAGTGATATTATTTTAGTAGCTTCTTGTACAGTTTTGGTGATTAATGCTATGTCATCAGTAAACAATAGCAACAATGACACTACACCATTACTTACCTTTTTAAATAAAAATGGATCAGCCATGCCAGCTACAAAACCTATCTTAGTTAATTCCTTAACTATACACTGGTTCCACTCATATCCTGATTGCTTTAAGCCATAAAGACTCTTTTTCAATCTCCAGCAATCAGTTGTATTATCATTTTTGATACCTAAAGTTTTCTTTAAATAAATAGTGTGTTGCAATGGTGCATGCAGATATGCTGTCTCTACATCTAAATGATTTATAATGTATTTCTCTTTAGCTGCCCACACTAATGCTGCTCGTAATGTAGTAGTCTTCAGACTAGGTGCAAACACCTCATCGTAGTCGTTTGCTGTCTGATTGAACCCTTGTGCTACTAACCTGGCTTTATGGGTAACAGTCCCACCCACACCTGTCTTAAGTTTATAAATCCATTTACACCCTATGGCTTGTTCACCTGGTGGTAACCTGACATTTTCATATACCTCCAGTTTTTGTAAAGATTTCAGTTCCTTATCCATTGCTTCCTGCCAAGCAGCCTGATCCTGCAGGATACAATTTCAGTTCATTATAGTTACCAGGATCTGTATCCACTTGGCATACAACACTAGCCTGAGATCTATCAGGTGGTTGTGTTACTTGGGTTGAACGTCTTGGTAATACAGGGATAACTGGTGGACTCTCCTGTTCCACCTGCTCCTGTTCTTCTATTACCTCCTGTGCCTGTTCTCCTACCTCCTCCTGTGCCTGTTCTTCCTCTTTAATGGCTATTCATGGTTTACTTAATTCATCTTTAGGGACTATTTGGGTGTCAATAATAATATCATTGCTGGATTCCTGTTCCAGTTTATTCTACCCAACGTGCTCAAGAAATTTAGCACTAGTGCTACAATAAACATGAGCTGTGCCTGGATCCCAAAATCTAAACGATCTATGGTTGGCTTCGTAACCTACGAAAAATAATTTCCTAGCTCTATGTTGCCCTTTCAATCTTACTCGTGAGGGAATATGCACCCATGCTGGAGCTCCAAATGTGTGTAGATAACTTAAATTTGGCTTTCTGCCATGCCACCGAGTGAATGGCAATTCTCCAGTTGTTGTATTAACTACATTGTTTAACACATGGTTACTACACATTATGGCTTCACCCCACAGTGTTTCAGGCAAACCTGAATCAGATAACATAGTGCGAGCCATGGCTTGTAACGTTTGCCCTCTTCGTTCTACAAACGAGTTATGTTGTGGTCTGTAGGGTGCAGAACGCTTATGCTCTACACCAGCCAATTTCAACATAGTTTGGAATCTCTTGTTAATAAACTCAGTCCCATTATCAGTAACTAAAGTAATTACTTTACTCCTCGTTTTTCTCTCAGCAAATCTTAGCCAGTTAAAGAAATGTTGGAATGTTTCTGTTTTGTTTTTCATGAGATAGCAGAAACCGTACCGTGAGTAATGGTCCATTATACTCAAAACATAGCAGGCACCTCCCAAACTGGGTTTCTTAGGACCAATTATGTCAGCAAACACAACCTCTAAAGGTTCTTTGGTCTTAAACCCATTCAGTCTGTTTGCAGGAGTAACCTTGCTTTTCTCTTGGCTACAAGCATTAAGTTTAAATACTTGCTACAGGGTTTTAAATTTACTCCCTCTGACAAGTCAACAGTTTGTTTCAGCATTTTGAAATTAATGTGCCCTAGACATCTATGCAGTAAATCTATATAAAGGTTACTACATAACCAATATTAACTAAAGCCCTTACTGATAATAAATTGAATTTCAGTTTAGGTACATATAACATAGTTAAATGCTCATCTACACATGAACAATATGCAGTACCTTCACTAGATGCTTTCAACTTCCATCCATTTGCCAATGATACATGTTGCTTACTCGTAGACATCTTTACAAACCTCTCTCTATCTTTAGTAATGCACTGCGATGTTTCACTATCAACAACCCACAAATCATGGTTTACAGTTGAATTGCTAGACATAGCTAAACTAACATTCTTCTTAGCCTTCTGGTGTTTGCCAGTATTCTGTCATTTTCCCTTCTTACAGAATCTAGCTATATGTCCCCTAGCCCCACAAGAAAAACATTTCCTAACAATATAGGCAGTTGAACACAAATCCTCTTCTTGTGGTTGTTCCTTTCTCAGTTGATCTCTATCCAACCGTCTTCTTGCTTCTTCTAACAACTTTCCGGTTATGTCAGTTAATGTCAGTTTATCTCTGGGCAGGACTTCCAGTGAAGATACATACTACGCAAAATTAGACTGCATTTCATAGACCAGGAAACATAGATTGTTCCATCCAACTGAGTTATCAGTGATAGACTTGTTGAAGGGTCTTGTGCCATCTTTACCAGGATAGTAACCCACAATTAAACAGTAAACAGCTGTCTGTATACAGTACTGTGCATTCACACCAACTGTCAGTTATCTGAGCCTGGTATGATCTGGGCCCATAACCAGTGTTGAGGTAATTCCCCTTTAGGAGAATGAGCACACACAGGGAGACATAGTGAGAGTGATGAAGAATAACACACATCCAGCACACAGATACACTGTATAGTAAAATGTAGGTTTTTACTTCCAGTAAAACCGTTAAGCAAAGTTCAACAAACAGTCCAAGTCATTCACGGTTAAAGCAGTCAGTTTTCAGTCCAGGGATAATCCAAATATCAAAGTCCAGTATCATAAACAGTTCAGTAACAGACTTACATCAAATCCAAGAAGAACTATGATCAGCAACAATCAATAGGGAAATGCAGGAACAGCAATACTCTTAACAACAGGAGAACAACACAACCCAGGTTTCTGGCTCCATCTTATGGCCGTTTGAGGAACCACACCCAATTACAATTTTAGCATTCCCTTAAAGAGACAGTATTAAAATGTCTATCCTGGTTTATATATTTTCCAACCCAACTGTTAGATGACTTACATTCCTAACATTACTGTCCCTGTCCTATTGTGTCTTTTTTTCTTATTCGTATCCATTTCATATATTTATAACCATGTTTATACTTATACCTGTTATCTAATAATTGTTTGACAAAATAAATAAATAAATAAATAAATAAATAAATAAAATAAATAAATAAGAAACAAAAAGCAACAGTCAAATATAAGCAAGACATTCTCTTCACATGGTAGCTGATGAAAATCCAGTCCTAGTAGCATCAACTTGTTGAAATTCATCTTATTGATCATTTGGGACCATAGGAGAAAGAAAAAAGGGACTTCCTCTATTTCTTTGCTGGTCCCTACTCTTCTTTCCTAAACCATTCTCTTCCTTCTCTTTGTATCCCTCCTGTGAAAACAGGCTTGACACGACAACATATAACTTTAATTGCATTTTTTGGATCTTAAAAGCCTCTATTTTGGATACTTTTAACAGACTTGATTCTAGTCACACAGGCTCCAGGTTCCAGTTCCTGAGGTAATCAAACCAGAGTTACCTCAATTGTTTTTCCCTACAATTCCTTCACTACCTTCCTTCATTCTTTTTTGTCCCAGAACTTATTAAACTAATAAAAATGTATCTGTTCTGCCCTTTTCTGCAGTCTGGTGAAACTGAAGCTGCAACTGAATGCTGAGGGGAAAATTCCTGTCAAGAAGTGAGTATGATGTTCATATTATTTATTTATTTTCATTTATTTATTTGATTTGTCAATCGCTTACAAGATAATAGGTATAAGTATAAACATGAGTAAGAGTACAGGAATAGGTACAAATAAATGGGGACAATAGGACAGGAATGGGAGGCACAATGGTGCGCTTATGCACGCCCCTTAGGAATGGGGTGAGGTCAATAGTGGATAGTTTGAGGTTGAAGGAGTGGGGGCTTGAGGATGTTACAACAGAGTCAGGTAGTCAATGCATTCCAGGCATTGACTACTCTGTTGCTGAAGTCATACTTTCTGCAATCAAGTTTGGAGCAGTTAACATTGAGTTTGTATCTGTTGTGTGCTCTTGTATTGTTGCGGTTGAAGCTGAAGTAGTCATTGACTGGTAGGACATTGTAGCAGATAATTTTGTATACTACACTTAAGTCCAACTGTAGGCGCCGTAGTTCAAGATTGTCCGAGCCCAAAATTTCAAGCCTGGTGATATAGGGTATTCTGTTGTGAGCAGAGGAGTGTAGTACTCTTCTCGTGAAATATTTCTGGACTCAATCAATTGTATTAATATCTGATATACAGTGCGGATTCCAGACAAATGAGCTGTATTCGAGTATTGGTCTAGCAAAGGTTTTTAATGCCCTAGTTAGCAATTCAATATTTCCAGAGGAGAAGCTTCGTAAAATTAGATTTACAACTCTTAATGCCTTTTTGGCAATGCTGTTACAGTGAGCTCTAGCGCTTAGATCATTAGATATGAGTACTCCGAGGTCCTTGACAGAGTGAGGGTCATCAATGAGGTCATATCCGCCTAGTTTGTATTTGGTGAATTGATTTTTTTACCAATGTGTAGGACAGAGCATTTGTTGGTTGAGATTTGGAATTGCCAAATGTTTGACCATTCAGACACATAATCAAGGTCACTTTGAAGAACAGTAGCATTGTCGGTGGTGTTGAATAGCTTTACATCATCTGCAAAGAGGATGCAGTTGCTAATAAGGTGATCGCAAAGGTCATTTATATAGAGTATAAAGAGTGTGGGTCCTAAAATGCTGCCTTGGGGGACACCACTGTTGACTGGAGCAAGGTTTAATATAGTGCTCCCTATTTTTACTATTTGTTGCCTGTTTGACAGGAATGCAGTAATCCACTTATGAAGGGATCCGGAAATGCTGTAAGAGTTTAGTTTTAACAGTAGTTTGTCATGTACCACTGAATCAAAGGCTTTGCAGAAGTCTATGTAAATTGCATCTATTGCTTTACCCTGGTCGAGTAGAGTAGTCCATATGTTTTTGCAGTGTAGGGAGTTGTAGGTTGCAGGACAATTTTTTCCTGAAACCAAATTGTTTTTTGGAGAGTAGGCTGTCTCTAAGTGGAGGGTGATGAATTGGTTAATGATTGATTCCACGACTTTGCACATGACACAACACAGTGAGATTGGTCTGTAGTTTTCAACCAGGCTGGGGTCACCTTTTTTGAAGATAGGGATGACCGTAGCTAAGGACCATTAGGGGTTCTGCTATGGCAGAGGAGAGCTTTTTTAAGAAGTATGAACATAATCTATCGGGGCCAATAGATAGGGATGGTTTTAGGTTTTGTAGTGCCTTTTCTACATTATCTTCTATAAAGTCACTATGTAGTAGATCATTGCAGTTAGTTGTGGTACAACTAGGAAATGTGGGCCATGAGCCATTGCTGTTTACAAAGACTGAACTGAAGAATGCGTTGAAGAGGTTGGCCTTAACAGCTTCGTCGCTACAGTCTTTCCCATTTGGTCCCTTTAGAGGTGGGATGGTTCTTGAGTCTTTAAGTTTGGAGTTTACAAAATTGTAGAAGGCATGGGTAGATTTTGCACATAGTAGGTTTTCCTCCTGCTTACAGTAATAATTTGTGCATTCTGCCTTTATCTGTCGACATAAGGTGTTGTATCGGTTTTTAAAGTTTGCTACATAGCTAGTTTTGTTTTTACACCATAGTGATTTTTTTTTTAATTGAAGTTTTCTTATTGTTATGGGCAATTTTTTGTTTTTTTGTTTTTTAGGGGTTACTAATAGTACATATAGTTTAATGACTCTTTCAAGTTCAAGTAAGAATGCATTAAAATGGTCTTCTGTAGTATTACAGTTAGAGAACAGAAAGTGCCAATCAAGAGATGATAGGTCGGCATCTATGAGGTCATAGTTGGCTTTTTTGAAATTGTATTTTGGAGATCCATCATTATGATCTTTGTGAGGGCATACATTGAGACAAAAGTCAGTCATACTGTGGTCACTGTTTGAAAAGGGTTCTTGTATTTGTAGGCCATAAATTGAGTTTGAGCTGTTGCAGAAGATGAGGTCGATGCAGTTGTTGACTCTAGTGTTGTTTGTTACTAATTGATCCAGTCCCAGTGTGGTAACAGCATTGTACAGGATTGCATGTATGGGTTCGGATGTACATTCATTTAGGGTCCAGTTTATAAGAGGTAGATTGAGGTCACCAAGGAAAATAAGAGGGTGTGGACAAGAGGCAGCCCATGTCAGCAGTGAAGTTAGTTTGTTTGCATGAACTATGTCATAATCAGGGGCTCTGTAGCATAATAAGAAGTGGATAGTGGTATTTAAGGACAGTTCACAAATGATGGTCTCTGGTTAATGGTTAATCTCTGGTTAATTGGTTAATGGCGCACTCAATTCTGAGAGGATCCTGGGTCATGGCAATAACATAAGCTCCCATTGGGCTTTGGGCAAAGATGTGACCAGCTAATCTCTATTCCAAGTGTATATTTATTCAATGTTTTTCAGATGGAATGGCATAATCCCACAAAATACAATTGAATGTATTCTAGTGGTCCTGAGAATTATCCCAAAATCATGTCTGCAACATTTGAGAGAAAGTCACTGAAAAACAAAAGTTTTGATTTCTGGATATCTTTGTTAAAATGTGTTGTATATTTCAGAAATCCATGCTCTCAAATAAAAACCCCATTGAGCTTCATAAACACAGAGGTTTCAGCCCTATTCACTTTAGGAATGTAACTGCTCTGCCTAATATAAACCTTAGACATTGAAGGTTTACGGTTGTTGAACTCTACTCTGACAAAATATTCTCCTTCAGGAGGAGTTTTGTTTATTTTACTATTACAATGGTTCTTCTTTATGGTCAGTCTTCCCACTAGAACATTACTGTCTCCCACTAGTGGCCCTGGCTCTCTTTAATTTATCATTCCTTTCTTTTTCAGTATTTTTCAAATGTTTCCCGCAGACAGAAAAAGGGTAGAAGCAGCATTAAGTGCCTGTCATCTTCCACAGGGGAAGGTAAGTAATTATTTTTTTCTTACATGTATATTCCCCAGAATTCATAGACTGAATTGGAATTTAATCCTGAGCAAGATATATAAATTATGTAATAAACACAGATTTCCATAGACTTTTCATCAAAGCTCTTGAGCAAATGGTTTTGATCCTTCAGCCCAAAACTTTGCTATGTTGAACAACCACATCTGAAAAAGGGATTCTAAGCAGCTTCGTCTGACAGATCAGGAAATAAATGGGTAGAAACAGTTTGTATGAGATCACCGAGACTACTGAATTCGGCGAATATACTCTTGTGCTCCTATAAGAATGTGCATATTTTATTTAGGTTTAATATTTGAATAAAGTGATTGTTGGTAAATGTGTTCATATTGGTTGATGTCAAGACTAAGGCATTTGATACAATCCTGTATATTGAAAATGAGGAGAGGAACACTGTTGAACATTTAAACAAATGGTGAATTGGAATCTATTGCCAATCTACCAGTGTACCAGAAATAACTGTACATGTAGTCCTTGTTTAGGAACTGCTTCAAACAGCAACAATTCACAACTAATGGCAGTGATTAAAAAAAACTAACTTTGCAACCAACGCCCACACTTACGATCTTTGCAGCATTTCTATCGTGTTTACCATTACAGTTAGTTTGTCAACTTTGAACTGAACCTGGCAGCAGCCATTTTCCTGTTCCTCAGTTGCCACACAGAGGGGGAAGGGGGAAAGGAGGTTGGAATGTGTTACGAGACACAACAGAGAGTTTTCTGGTGAGAACCAAGGTCATCTCTATTGGCAATGGATAAGGTTGGGGAAGGAATGCCTGGACGGCCCGCCAATTGACCTAACTGGAATACATGATTTGTGACACTTGGGAATGGGGTTTATTTCCTATTTTTAATTATGCTGAAACTGCGGGAAAGATTTAGAGTTGGTTTTCCTTTGAAGCAGTGCCGATATGATGTACTCAATAAAGAAGGTCTTTGTGAGGAGGATTTTAGTCTCAGAGTTCTGATTTGCTTGGGTTCATTAGTTGGAATCTTGACATAGTTAGTACATATTACCCTCTGTAAAAGCATAAACAGAGTTATAATCATAAGGTTTTTCACTTTGTATTCATTTTGGTTTTGTACCACTCTTCCTCAACCTAGTTGTGTTGGACTGCATCATTGCAAATTCTTGAACTGTGACTAATAATTTGGAAAATCTCCAAATTTTTAGAAAACACCAGGGTTAGAATTAGGAGTTACTGCGATAAAGTCTGTTTATACCAGTATGTAACACCCTTGCATGCAGCCACCATCTTTACCCTGTAAACCCTCAGAAGCATGTTTGCATTATTCCACAACTGTTGTCACTACTGCCATTTTTGCAATGCTCAGTACTTCCCATAAACTCATGTGTGGGAAGAGGTGGGTCAGCCAAGCAACCAGGATAAACTGCAAATTCTCACTGATGGAAAATAATTTGCTTCCTATTTGCAATATTTCTGCTGTGCCAGAATAAAATTACAAGCTAATCATCTCAGTTAGAGAAAACTTGCAACAACACATTGAGGTAAAGGAACTACAACAGCACGGCACTTTTACAAACATTATAGGTGGAGGGGCCCATAAATCTACTATAGCTACATCATCCATCTGTGAAAAAAAATATTCTTAAGGAAAAACTGAAATTCTTGCTAAATGTATTTTTCTATTTCACATGCAGATAGTCTTTTTTTCCTTATGACATACAACCACCTCTTGTTCATATTTAAGCACAGGAGAAAGAATTCATGTTATAACTCAGAATATATTGTTAAATCTTATCGTGAACTGCTCTTTCATTTCCAGAATGATGGTATCAACCCAGAAGACTTTCCTGAAAAAGTGTATAAAACATTCCTGATAAATCTGTGTCCTCGGCCGGATATTGATGAAATATTTACCTCACAGTAAGCTTTCATAGTGTAAGAGATACTATGTAGATGAAGGGAATCTGGGTGAATTCCAATGAAATCTAGCACAGTTTTCATCCTTCAGCATTTCTTATGGTTTGTGTTTCATTTGATTCATATGAGTCTTTTGGGATTCTGTATTTGCATTCTGTGTCATCCAGAATTGCAGGCTAACTCTGCTCACTGCCTGGAGTTTGATCCTAATAGGTCTCAAGATTGATAGATCTCAACCATCCTTCCGAAATTGGAACCCAGATTGTTGGGGGCAATATGCTGACATTGTAAACCACCCAGAGAATGCTGTAAAACACTGTGGGGTTATATATATATATATATATATATACAGTGAATAGTGTGTGTGTGATGGAGCTGCCATCTCTCTATAAATACTGGTGGGGGGGCTGGTGTGCTGGGCTGGTTGGCTGCGCTGCTGCCTTTTGATTGGTTGATGGAGTTGATGTTGGTATAATGGGCTGTGTGATGGCCTTGTGAGTTTTGTTGTGGAGATATCCTGGATGGGGATTTTATATATCTATATCTATATCTATATCTATATCTATATCTATATCTATATCTATATCTATATCTATATCTATATCTATATCTATATCTATAT